AAAAAAACAAAATCACGCAATATTTAAGCAACCACATAATACATTAAGAACAAAGTAACTGTGGATTCGCATTAGCATCACTTTTCCGATTCCACAAAGGTTTTAAACACTGCATTGCCACCTGTCGACATGAATCTGCATTATCGTCTCTGAGTTTATGTAAATTACACTAATACTGAGTTTCAGAGTGGGCTGCAATGCACTATAATTAATTCCCTTACCCTTGGTTCTCATTATAGTATTTTTTTCTATAATTGTGCAGTAACACAGTCACTTTATGACTTTACAAAAATAAGACAAAGAAATGTAATGAACTAATAACTTAAGTCTAAACTGGGGTTTATTGTATATGTTGCTGAATTATTCAAATACATTACGTAACAACCCTATACATGAAATTAATTGCAAATAATGTACATACGAAATAACCTCTTTGTCCTCAGACAACGGAATATGGTGCTTTATAACATGCATGTAAACCTGGTCTCCTTTATACAGTTCAGGTCAATCTCACAATCATAGTGGTATTTCATAATATATAGCTGTGCAAAAATAACTAATATATAAAATATAATATTGTTTTAATTAGACAACCAAGCCATGAATAAATTAGTCCAAACAGTGAGTAGTTCATGAAGAAATACAACACGCTTCTCCTCAAACACACACACACACACAGACTCAACACCATTCGATCAGGAAATCCTTTTGAAAACACACAGGACCGGCCCACAATCCTACTGTAAGAGACAGTATTTCATCTTGGTCGATGTCCTATGTCCTTACTGAAGTCTAAAGTCTGGTCAGATATCTTAATACATTATTAATAAATCATCTGTATCATATCTAGCATTTATATGTAGCATTTAAAATGTGCTTAAAAATGCAAGGCAATCTTTTAATCGTGTGCGCTTTCCTGGAGCACTCACACAAAATGCTTTGAATTTAGTCTTCAAAACTGACTCAAATGACATTGGGTTTGTTGATGAAAACCGAGGAGCCTATATTTAAATCGTAAGACTGTAAATAATTTGTGCTTAGTGTAAAGTATGAGTTGGTAGCTACACGTTGGACTCAATAAAGGAGCGTTTAGGTTTGATGGAGCTGATCAGGATGGGGTTGTCCCGGGCCAGGCTGGCCTGCTTGTGCTTGGGGTTACTGTCCTTGTATCCAGGTCCAGCATGAAATTTGTCTGGGTGAAAGTCAGGAGTATGTGTGCTGTTATGGATGGGCTCCTGATAAGCGCTTGTTTTAGCGTATTGGAGGTCACTGGTCAGTCCCTGCGAGTGCGTGTTCATGACAACACCAACATTGTGCCCTACAAGCCCTTCTGGCACAAGTCCTTGCCAGCCGTAACCAGACACCAGATTGCCATGATGACCTTGCTGCTGCTGGAAACGTGCAGTCTTGTCAATGATGCCCATAAATGGGCGTGGCTTATGCTCAGATTGCCATGTGCTGCTGTCGGCACTCGCCACGGAATTGCGCACTCGGCTGGAATCCACCAGGTTCCCGCTGGAGGAGTTTGACACTCTAACACTGCTGCTCCTGCAGAATTCCCCCCTTGGCTCGATGCTGCCTTCGGCCTTCTCTGCATGACCAAACTGAGTGCTGCCCTCTCTGCTACCACCGAGCGGACCCCTCTCAACACGGCCAATGTCAATGCAGGGCCCTGCTCGGAGTGAGGCGGGCCGGTGGCGGCTCGGCATGGGGCTGGACCCGGCGCTCTGGGGCGTCCTTCCCTCTGCATGAAGTGAGCTGCTGTACTCTCGGTTTTTCATGCTTTGAGCCTGTCTGGATGGAAGATGCCTGAGGGCGGCCCGTCCAGGGGCAGCTGTGGAGACAACGGACTGGGCATCCGATATAGCCAGGCCTAGAGAATCAGGCAAGGTGCGGCTCTGATGCCAGTTCTCCTTCCTCTTCTCCTGCCTAGAGGATTCTTGCTCACGCCGCTCCTCCTCCTCATCTGCCTGCAACATGTTTATGCTGAGGCTGTCTGGGCTTTTCTCCAAACTCTCAATGTCCTGGTCATCGTCGTCGTCATCTTCTTCTTCCTCATCGTTGTCTTCCTCGTGGTGTGAGGGGTTGCTGTGAGAGGTGGGGTGTTTGGAACCCTGTCGCTGCAGGTGTTGGCACTCTTCCTCCACACGTACCAGTAGACGTCTGATCTCTCTGTTACTGGGGGACAGACGTGCCGCTTCATAAAGATCAGCCAGCGCTGTTGCAAACTGCCTGAAAGAGTGAAAAGAAGAGGAACTGCTAAATATTGAATCATTATTATAAACCATATGCAGTAGATAGTATAGATATATGCTCTCTCTCTCTTTGAACCTAGTAATCTGCCTCACTGTCTACTTCCTACACCGGAAGCAGCCTACATAAACAGGATCTTTAAACACAATGGAACCTTATAAATGACTAATGTAAAACTCTCTTCACAAGCAGCAGCTTATGTGCCATATAAATCATATGACCTTGGGAACATGGGAATCACCCTGTCATGCAGCCTGTTTTAATACGTTTTGGAGCTATAAATAGTATAAATGTGATTGACTGTGCTAGTCAACGAAGAACACAGCTCTGATAAAGCATTCACATAACCACTCTGCATTACAAAGCAGATTTAAGGCAGTAGCGTTATACTTAAGTGAATTGTATAAGTCTGCTCCGCTGTGCGATTAAGTGCTTGACAGTTCTCAGTTTGTTCTGCTGTATTTGTTGCTCTTAGCTTTCAGAAAAAGTTACCGCGATAAATAGCACTTTATAACAAAAAGGTTACACCAGTACAATAATAAAGCTCATAAATGCTTCATAAATTTTTTTTATTATAATGTAAATGCAATAAATTACTATAGTGCACTGAAATATAGTGTTATGCATCTTAATAATCTTAACATGGCATATGAACAATCAGCTAAATAGGCTAGCCTTAAAGTAAGTACACTGATCTACAAACTTTTTGTTTAAAAAACAGACATACATATTAGCAGTCCATGACTCATTTCAAGTTTGATTACATAGTAATCAAAGATGTTTAAATTCAGCAAATGAATCAGACCAGTGACTCCTGTATTGCGTTTTGTCCAATTTGGTCAAACTGAT